CACTGCTCTAACATGTAAGGAGGCTGACTGACTGCAGCTCTGACCTCATGTTGGATTCATCAGTCTGTGTGTTTCTCTTGACTCCATGTCCTCTTGTTGTTTCCAGGTGTGAGTGGTGTGACGGTGGTGACACAGAAGCCTGTAGTGACGGTGAGGAAAGGAGAGACAGCCTCCATGGACTGTAACCTGGGGACTGTTACTGGCACTGGTGCTAAATGGTATAAACAGATTCCTGGAGGAGTCCCTCAGTTTGTTTTATATTTTTATCGAGTCAATAGCGCTCCAACCTATGGCTCTGGCTTCTCCTCTCCAAAGTTCACATCTACTCATCAGTCTACATCAGATTATCGTTTGATCATCAGCAATGTGGAGGAAGGAGACTCAGCAGTCTATTACTGTACAACATGGGACACCTCTGCTAAAGAGGAGGTATCACAGTGATTTACACCGTGACAAAAACCTCCTCACAAGAACTTCTGCTTTTTCAGTCTCTGACACATCTGATAACAGAGCCTTCTAAATCACACCCTATATGCAATAATTTGTTAAAAATAATGTAATGCTCTTATTGGATTAATTTGCACAATAACAAATGAAATTACGTATGTATTTGTTACCTTTCATAAACTCTTTACAAATAACATTTGTATGAATAAAGATATAATTCACCAGGAAGTTAAATCTACTGAGATCCATTATATCTGACATGTTTGCATACTTTTTGGACTTAAATGCCACCGTTTCTTGCCACATCATTTCTTCCACAAATAGAAAACCTTCAGGTTTGAAAACACATAATGTGACCATTATTAAATAAAATAAATACCCTGGTGCCAAGAGTCTCATGACTTTTACACGTCCAGCTGCAACAAAAGAGACAGGAAACTGACTACATGAATGCAGTGTCTTGAGACGCACCCCAATGTCATATAATACACAGTTTGGAGATAACATACTGTAGCTGATTTATGTTCAGCTAAAGCACACATAAAAGACAACGCTTAATTAAACTCAAATCAGGCAGAGATTTTGTATTTGTTTGAAAGTCAGTTCGTATTATTAGGTAACATGTATTTTCCTGTGGGATTATCATTTAAACATGTGAGGGTGCAAACCTTTTTCCTACGTGATAAATGGGATTGTGTGACATCAAATAAAATAGAGATTTAATCAGGATATCCATCTCACCGGAGTGAATAATACTCGAGCAAAGGACATTAACAGACTTCCAAACCCATAATCCTGACATTAACATAATGAGATTGCAGGTAAAATGCGACGCCACAACGAAAGTCACATCAAAAAACATATCTTGGTTTGAAAGTGAATGAAAGCAGTGCTGAGTGTAGAAACTCCTCCTCCTGCACTTCTCCTCTCTCAGTGTGTTTATAAGCTTCAGTCTCTCTTCTCCTCTCACTCTGCTCACCTCTCAGCTGGACAGTAAGGGACGTTTACAGCACACACTGACACCATGCTGGGGACCCTCTGCACTCTCATCACTGCTCTAACATGTAAGGAGGCTGACTGACTGCAGCTCTGACCTCATGTTGGATTCATCAGTCCGTGTGTTTCTCTTGACTCCATGTCCTCTTGTTGTTTCCAGGTGTGAGTGGTGTGACGGTGGTGACACAGAAGCCTGTAGTGACGGTGAGGAAAGGAGAGACAGCCTCCATGGACTGTAACCTGGGGACTGTTACTAACGGTGCTGCTCGCTGGTATAAACAGATTCCTGGAGGAGTTCCTCAGTATGTACTGAAGTTTTATCACAGCAATAGCTCTCCAACCTATGGCTCTGGCTTCTCCTCTCCAAAGTTCACATCTACTCATCAGTTAAACACAGATTATCGTTTGATCATCAATAATGTGGAGGAGGGAGACTCAGCAGTCTATTACTGTACAACATGGGATGACTCTGCTAAAGAGTACGTATCACAGTGATTTACACCGTGACAAAAACCTCCTCACAAGAACTTCTGCTTTTTCAGTCTCTGACACATCTGATAACAGAGCCTTCAAATAACTCAGTGTCTTTCACCATGTGCAATAACCTGTTTAAAAATATTTTAGAATTTTACCAGATTCATTTTAACATTAATTTATAAATCTATCCATACCTTTAATAAATGCTATAATAATGAGAATATGAATACATAAATATGCCATCCAGCATCATCCATAATACCTGAAACTAATTCAGGCTTTTAAAGCCACTTTATCTTGCCAAATAATATCTTATAATTATAGAAAATGTACATAATCTGGGTTTAATACACAAGATACAGTAACAGTGACGGGACTTTAATGAGTCCTGTTTCCTGAGGCCCTGAAGAAACCTGACATACAATATTGAAAACATAAAAACATCACATTCTCATCAGGTCATCTAGATGCAGACAATCAATAAACTAAATACATTTTAAATCAGTTTGTAAAATTAGGTAAAATGTTTGTTTGTAGGGATTAACATTGAAACATTTAAAGATACAATATTTTTCCATTCTGTTACGTTCACAAATAAACTTTAAAGTGAAGATAAATATGAATTTATACATTGATGGTGTCGTTGATAAGATTATTTGACGATGAATTAAAATGGAGATTATATCCCAAACTCCATCTGGTGGAAGTTAATAATACTCATGCAGAGGACATCAACAGATAGCCAAACACCGTCTGCTTAAAACATAACAAATAAATAAAAGAATTGCTCCTGTAATTATTAAAATGTTCACATCAAAAACAGAATGTAGTTTGTCTGTGAATGAAAGCAGTCCTCAAGTCCAGCAGAGGTTTGGAATATAATCAGCCTGATGAAGTGAAGGAGATGTTGACAGTGAAAGTTGCTCTCAGCAGGATGTATTGGAAAAAAACGTATTGGTTTGTGTTTGATAGATTTGTTTTTGAAAGGAACAGTGCTCATATGAGTTAATAACTTCTATGTTTCTCGCCAATTTAACATGGTTTACTTTTTCAGATTGATTGTTATAATATAAACTCATATACTAAATGGTTCTGTTTCTGTAATGCTTTGTATAAATGATTTGATTAGTATTTGATGGAAGCTCTCCATGTGTTTTCAGGCTCCAGCCTCCCTCCTCCTGTCCTCACAGTCTTCCCTCCGTCCAGTGCTGAGCTCCAGGCCAACAAAGCCTCTCTGGTGTGTCTGTCCAGTCAGTCTGGGCCTTTTGCAGATGTGAGCTGGTTGTCTGCTGGGAGTCCAGTGAGCAGTGGGATCTCTACCAGCACCGCTGTTCAGCAACCCGACAAGACTTTTCAAATCAGCAGCTACCTGTCCGTCCAGACGTCAGACTGGAACATGGATAAGGTTTACACATGTAAAGTGACTCAGGGCTCCCAGACTTCAGAGCAAAACATCAAGAAGTCCGAGTGTCCCGCTGAGCAATAGTAGAGGAGCACAATGACCGTTTAGTGTCTGCTGCTTTATTGTGTGTGCTGTTTGGTCATTACCAGCTTTACATGTGAGAGAACATGTGTCTGCAGGCTTGTGTTAAAGTTGTGACAGTTACGTGGAGGTGTTGTATCAGCTTTGCAAATGATTTAAATGTTTTTCAACATATTCAATTAAAACGCATTTCATAAAAACATTCTATTGCTTCTGTATTTTTTGTTAGTGATCATGGCAGTCAAGAATACACAGATGGTATCTTTAGATCTCACTTTTAGTTAAATCTTTGTCAAGAAAATGTGCTTAAAATTATTTCATATGGTGGATCAAATAGAGAAAAACGTGACTAATACGTATTCTTATGATATTCAAATCAGATACAATCAGCAACTGAAAGTGAGTTTTCATCCTCTGTCAGTCAAGCATCACCTCTCTACTCCTCCGTGCCTTCCTTCCCAGGATGCACCTGCACCCCTCATCTTCTTTCTAATAGCTTTATGTAAATGAAGAGTTCAAGTAACAGCTTTCTGTAAAATAACAGTAAACTGCCAGTGACTGGAAACACAGACATTTGACCTTCTATGTGAATTATATACGTCTGCAGAGTATTCTTTTATATCCTTCATGGATTTCTACTGTTTAATACTTACAACATTTGTGAAAATGACCTTTTCACAAAGTTAATTTAATTAAAGGAATACCCCATCAGAAAGAGCCTCAGTGTCTGTTGTAATTCTACACTTTAGTTATATCAAGTTAGATTGTCTCATTCATTCAAAGAGCTTTTGGATTTTGAACTCAGCTTTTCTAGTTTGAGAAGGTTAAACTTACATCATGTATTCATTTTCTTCACAACTTGAACATTTTCTCACATGGACTCAACTTGCCTGAGTAAGTTATCAGTTGAACAATTTAAGAAAATAAAAAGATCTGCTTCCCCATTTGAGTTTAAAAAAAACCTCCTCTTCAAACTGAATGCTAGGTTGAAGAGTGGATATGATCAACTTGTTATATCCTGAAGATATGTCATGTTTTAATCCGGACTAAAGTAAAGACACATGTTGATCTAAATGAGAGAGCTGCATGTAGACGGGCACACACTCGCTGGCCCAGGGGACCCAATCTAAAACTACACTGACTGCCCATTCAGAAGTAAACTGTGAATGACCAAATGTTAACAATGAAACTATCAATGTATTTCAGTTAGAGAAGTTTCACTACTTTACACAGAGCTGACTCTTGACCTCTTCATTTACATGGAGCTATAAATAAGGAGACGAGGCCTACAGGTGCATCCTGGGAAGGAAGAGAGGGAGGAGCAGAGAGGTGATGCTTGACTAACGGAGCATGAAAACTCAGTTTCAGTTTCCCTTTTTTTCAGATTTCTTCTAAGATCTTAACCGGTGCAAGCAGCTTCAAAACAGCGACGTAATGTTAATCTCTGTCTTCTGCTTTCATTACAAATAAACTTCTAATAACAATTGGGCTTTCTGAATTCCACTAAACATATTTTGATTAGTAAGAATTTGGAAAGACAGTTCTTTAATCTCAAAGTTTCAAGATTTAATGGAAAAGTATGAATAAATACAAAGACTTTTTTTGTTCTCAGATATTTTTTTATTTGTATTTTTAATAAATCTTGCAAAAAAGAAATGCGCCATTTGCAAAGCTGATACAACACTTCCCTCTTACTGTCAACATTTGTATCACAAGCCTGCAGACACATGTTCTCTCACATGTAAAGCTGGTAATGACCAAACAGCACACACAATAAAGCAGCAGACACTAAACGGTCATTGTGCTCCTCTACTATTGCTCAGCGGGACACTCGGACTTCTTGATGTTTTGCTCTGAAGTCTGGGAGCCCTGAGTCACTTTACATGTGTAAACCTTATCCATGTTCCAGTCTGACGTCTGGACGGACAGATAGCTGCTGATTTGAAAAGTCTTGTCGGGTTGCTGAACAGCGGTGCTGGTAGAGATCCCACTGCTCACTGGACTCCCAGCAGACAACCAGCTCACATCTGCAAAAGGCCCAGACTGACTGGACAGACACACCAGAGAGGCTTTGTTGGCCTGGAGCTCAGCACTGGACGGAGGGAAGACTGTGAGGACAGGAGGAGGGAGGCTGGAGCCTGAAAACACATGGAGAGCTTCCATCAAATACTAATCAAATCATTTATACAAAGCAAGACAGAAACAGAACCATTTAGTATATGAGTTTATATTATAACAATCAATCTGAAAAAGTAAAGCATGTTAAATTGGCAAAAGAGAAACATAGAAGTTATTAACTCATATGAGCACTGTTCCTTTCAAAAACAAATCTATCAAACACAAACCAATACGTTTTTTTCCTTTTTTCAGGATTATTTTAATCAATTCATAAAGTCACTTTATATGACTTATCCTTTTTAAAATGTGTAATATACTAATTTAAGTCAGTGTTCGATGTGATGGTGTATCAGCAGTAACTCTGATGTTATTGTATATATATAACCACCAAAGAGAGAGAAAATTCTAATCCCATATAGCCACAGAAATATTTAGGGATATTTAAATGTATTCCTAAATTTAAGACTAATAGTAATTAAACATTATAAACACACACTTTTAGTATTGATATCACAATAAAAAAAAAGTCTTCAAATGAAATACAGTTTTAAGATGTTAAAATTCCCTCAACCATCAACATATGTTTAAAATATTTGTTGAAAATATTTAAAACATTGTGAGCATTTCAGATTGTTAGCTTCAAACACACAGCTTGGCATGAAGATCAAAAACTAATCTGCTTTTGAATGAAAAACATGATTAATGTTTTAAACACTTATCAACACAAAGGTTGCTGTTTCTAAATACAGAAACTTAAAATATATCCTGTGAGTTAGATGAGTAAAATATTTGTTGAAAATATTTAAAACATTGTGAGCATTTCATTAGCTTCAGTTACACAGCTTGGCTTGAAGATCTAAAAACCAGTCTGTTATTTAATGAAAAACATGCTTAATGTTTAAAACAGTGAGCAACATAAACAATGATTATTGCTCTTCATACATAAGAGAAACATCAAATATATCCTGTTCTAAGAAGAGTTAGAAAGTACTTACTTGTCACAATCAGCTTGGTGCCTTGTCCGAATACCACAGTGATTCAGTTTGTATACATGGCTGTACAAAAACCTCCTGACTCTCACTGATGAGGGGAGTGGAACTGAAACATCCTGCTGAGAGCAACTTTCACTGTCAACATCTCCTTCACTTCATCAGGCTGATTATATTCCAAACCTCTGCTGGACTTGAGGACTGCTTTCATTCACAGACAAACTACATTCTGTTTTTGATGTGAAACTTTTTTATAATTACAGGAGCAATCTTTTTATTTATTTGTTATGTTTTAAGCAGACGGTGTTTGGCCATCTGTTGATGTCCTCTGCATGAGTATTATTAACTTCCACCAGATGGAGTTTCTGATTTAATCTCCATTTTAATTCATCGTCTAATAATCATATAAACCACACCATCAATGTATAAGTTCATATTTATCTTCGCTTTAAAGTTTATTTGTGATCGTAACAGAATGGAAAAAGATTGTATCTTCAAATGTTTCAATGTTAATCCCTACAAACAAAAATGTTACCTAATTATACAAACTGATTTAAAATGTATTGAGTTTATTGATTGTCTGCATCTAGATGACCTAATGTGAATGTGATATTACTTTTTCAATATTGTATGTCAGGTTTCTTCAGGGCCTCAGGAAACAGGACTCATTAAAGTCCCGTCACTGTTACTGTGTCTTGTGTATTAAACACAGATTATGTACATTTTCTATAAGTATAAGATATTATTTGGCAAGATGAAGTGGCTTTAAAAGCCTGAATTATTTTTCAGGTATTATGGATGATGCTGGATGGCATATTCATTTATTCATATTTTCATTATTAAAGCATTTACTAAAGGTATGGATACATTTATAAATTATTGTTAAAATGAATCTGGTAAAATCCTTTAAATGTTTTTAAACAGGTTATTGCACATGGTGTGAGACACTGAGTTGTTTGAAGGCTCTGTTATCAGATGTGTCAGAGACTGAAAAAGCAGAAGTTCTTGTGAGGAGGTTTTTGTCACGGTGTAAATCACTGTGATACGTGCTCTTTAGCAGAGCCATCCCATGTGTGACAGTAATAGACTGCTGAGTCTCCCTCCTCCACATTGCTGATGATCAAACGATAATCTGATGTAGACTGATGAGTAGATGTGAACTTTGGAGCGGAGAAGCCAGAGCCATAGGTTGGAGCACTATGGCTGTGATAAAAATATAAAACAAACTGAGGCACTCCTCCAGGAATCTGTTTATACCAGCGAGCATAAGTGTTAGTAACAGTCCCCAGGTTACAGTCCATGGAGGCTGTCTCTCCTTTCCTCACCGTCACTACAGGCTTCTGTGTCACCACCGTCACACCACTCACACCTGGAAACAACAAGAGGACATGGAGTCAAGAGAATCACACAGACTGATGAATCCAACATGAGGTCAGAGCTGCAGTCAGTCAGCCTCCTTACATGTTAGAGCAGTGATGAGAGTGCAGAGGGTCCCCAGCATGGTGTCAGTGTGTGAGGAGGGTCTTGGAACTAAGAAAGTGAGCTCACTGCTGACAGAGGAGAGGGTTTGGAGGATGAGGAGAGGAGGAGCTGGAGGAGCCATTTAATACTTGAACACTGAAACTGAGAGTGGCTGACAGGAGGAGGAGCTTTGGGACAATCTGCATAGTTTTCACTATTGATTTATCACTTATCTTTTGTGGAGGGGAAATAGTTTAATTCATTCTTTGTATAGGATATTAAACTAACCTGACCCCACATTTAGAAGTAAACTGTGAATGACCAAATGTTAACAATGAAACTATCAATGTATTTCAGTTAGAGAAGTTTCACTACTTTACACAGAGCTGACTCTTGACCTCTTCATTTACATGGAGCTATAAATAAGGAGACGAGGCCTACAGGTGCATTCTGGGAAGGAAGAGAGGGAGGAGGAAAACTCACTTTCTGTTTCTCAATTTTTCAGATTTATTCTAGTATCGTAACTATTGTAAGCAGCTAAAAACAACACATGTATGTTAGTCTCTCTGTTTTGATTCCATTAAAACATTATTTATAATAACACTTCTGATTCCTGAATTTCAATGAACATATTTAATTAATAAATATGAGGTTAAAACAGGTCTGTAATAAAAAACACAAGGTTTCATGGAAATGTATGAATCAATAAGAAAAAAAACTTGTATTCTGTGAACATTTCAGACAGTTTGATGCTGGAGTGCATATTTATTTATTCATGTTTTCACTATTAAATGTATTAAAGTTATGGATATATTTCATTAACTATTGTTCAGATACAATAATTTAGACGCTTTAAAAAAATTATTGCCCATACTGTGGGACACTGAGTCGCTAGATGGCTCTAAAGAGTGAACAAAGCAGAAATACTTGCATTGTAATTCTCTGCATGATCTTAACATGCGGAGCTCATAAATGGAAGCAGGAAACCTCACGTTGGGACTCTAAAGGTCAGGAAAAATCTGTGGTCAATTTCGGTTTTCCTCAATTTGTGAATCCTAAATAAAGTGTTGTTAAAAAAAAAAAACTCAAATTAAGATTCTGTTTGGAAAGATCAGGATGAATATCATCTCCTCCTCTACATTTCTGTCTTCAGCAGGACACACCAATGGCAATACTTGCTCCAATTTGACCCAGGTACTGGACAACTGGAAATATGCCATTTTAACCCAAGTGAAAGATCTGCTGATCAATGACCACGCTTCAGTCCTGCCTGAATACAACAGGTGGGTCACAACGGCTTCTCACTTTAAATTGTATTGCTGGTATGCTCAGACAAGATCAAGAAGAGAACATGTTGAGTAAGAGTGAGAATAACAACAGTCAGTGATGTCAGTGTGCTTTTAATGGTTTGCAATTTAGTGTAATAATAAATTATATAACTTGCTTTGCTCTGCGCATGACAACTGAACTATCAGAGCAAGTAAGTGATCCCATCCACACAAAGCCAACTCAACTTTGTAAATGACCTCACTATGGAGAATGTGCCAATGGGAAATGTTTCAGCTGAAAATGTTCTGTGTATTGTGTAATATTGTGTTCTGATAAGTTCAGCGTTTTGGCTCTGGGACATGATACTAACAACTAGTAACGGACATTCCTGATCAACCATATCAGATGCAGTGCTTACTGCACGTGTCCTTTCCTAAACTATATTTTCAGATTCTTTAAAAGGGACTTCCGTTCTTTATGTCTGCTATCCTGATGTTTCTGCATGTGGTGGGGCTGCTCCTGCTTAACAACATGTTGTGACTTTATGTTCATGAGCTCTTGTCTTGGTTATGTATTGCAAGTAAACAATGTTCCTATTTCATGTCAGCTCATGAAAACATTGCCAAAGCTCATTCAAATAATGAAATCAGTTGCTCTCTTGTACTTTCCTAAATGCCTCTACATGTGTCCAGGATCCAGCCTCTGTCCGAGGCCCTGGGAGACCTCTACAGGCAGTTCAACTCTCTGAAAGACGAGCTGGGTAGACTCACCTCAAAGTTTGACAGTGTGGAGGGTTTTGTGGACGACCTCAAGCAGGGCAGGTTTGCTCTGCCTCAGCGTCCCGTACAGAGGGTTCCCCCCGGTGTCGGACTGCGATCTCCACTGCGAGCACAGAGGAGGCCTCCTTACAGGGGGACGGTCCAGGAGCCCACCCTTGTCAGTGCGAGGAGAAGAGGGCCACAGAGACCTTAGACCCTTCAGTGTGGATGTTTCAAAATAATTCATATCTTTTATATATTCTTCACATAAGGAGATGATAAGTTTGTATAATATAAAGTCTTGCTCTTGTGATGTATGTGTAGAAAAAATATTTTTAAATTAATTAAATGTATCCTTTCCCGAAAAAGTCACTTTTAACCACAAGATGGCAGCATTCACTCACATTATATCAGCTGTCATTATTGTATTAATAACTGGACATAAAGAACATGATGCCTATAAATGTAATCTAAAGTTGTGATATAATACTGTATAATCGCGTACAAATTGTTTGTATTTACCCACATTATTATTAAAAATAGATTAATTTGCAACATGTTTTGACTTGACTTGCTACATTGTAAAAGGACATAAAGGACGTATTTAGCATTTACATTTTTCTCTTTGACTCTAGTTGTATAAAGCATTGTGTCATGTCTTCACACTCACAGTCCAGTGTTGTGGAAGTTGCCATGCAAGATGCCATCCCAACATCTGGAAATCATTTGTTCTTTATCAGTTTTAAGGCCACATGTTGCGCTGAAGAGATGTGTGCCGGGGTCGTGTCAGCTGTAGCCAATATAAAGTTCCTGAAAGTTAGGCCATATGGCTTTTAATTGTTTTCCTCTCTGTAGTAGCCTGTTTATCCTACCTATTCTAAAATGAGTTCTAAATGGACCAAAGTATAATCAAGATTCAAGGTTATATCTGACAAGATGATGACCTTTGAAGAGCAAAACAGTTCCTCTGTTCATCGTTACTTTGAACTTCACTTTTCAAAGGCAGTGTTGAAAATATTAAGTTCAGGTATTTTTTACATCATTTAGATTTGTCTTTTATTTTGGATGCTGCAAGAATTTACAGATGAACACTGAGAGCTAATTACAATCCATTATGAAGATTTCATAACAAAACCTCTAGTTTTAGCCAGACTGTTTTATTTTTAATTAAAAAGTCAACTTAATGCAAAACTTTAAAGATCTGATCAAATCAGCTACTGAGTTTTCATGCTCCGTCAGTCAAGCATCACCTCTCTGCTCCTCCCTCTCTTCCTTCCCAGGATGCACCTGTAGGCCTCGTCTCCTTATTTATAGCTCCATGTAAATGAAGAGGTCAAGAGTCAGCTCTGTGTAAAGTAGTGAAACTTCTCTAACTGAAATACATTGATAGTTTCATTGTTAACATTTGGTCATTCACAGTTTACTTCTAAATGTGGGGTCAGGTTAGTTTTAGATCCTGTAGCAGATGTATGTTGTTGACTCATTATAAAAACGTTTAAAATAATGCATACAACTTTAACGTATACATCCCATCTTTATTAACCAACAAAAGACATGTATTTAAACTGTTATTTTTGTACATTGCGTTAATGTGTGCATATCCCAACATTTGGCCTAAGCTACATGAAATGAATGAATTAAACTATTTCCCCTCCACAAAAGATAAGTGATAAATCAATAGTGAAAACTATGCAGATTGTCCCAAAGCTCCTCCTCCTGTCAGCCACTCTCAGTTTCAGTGTTCAAGTATTAAATGGCTCCTCCAGCTCCTCCTCTCCTCATCCTCCAAACCCTCTCCTCTGTCAGCAGTGAGCTCACTTTCTTAGTTCCAAGACCCTCCTCACACACTGACACCATGCTGGGGACCCTCTGCACTCTCATCACTGCTCTAACATGTAAGGAGGCTGACTGACTGCAGCTCTGACCTCATGTTGGATTCATCAGTCTGTGTGTTTCTCTTGACTCCATGTCCTCTTGTTGTTTCCAGGTGTGAGTGGTGTGACGGTGGTGACACAGAAGCCTGTAGTGACGGTGAGGAAAGGAGAGACAGCCTCCATGGACTGTAACCTGGGGACTGTTACTGATCAAAGTGCTCGCTGGTATAAACAGATTCCTGGAGGAGTCCCTCAGTATGTACTGAGGTTTTATCACAGCAATAGCTCTCCAACCTATGGCTCTGGTTTCTCCTCTCCAAAGTTCACATCTACTCATCAGTTAAACACAGATTATCGTTTGATCATCAACAATGTGGAGGAGGGAGACTCAGCAGTCTATTACTGTACAACATGGGATGACTCTGCTAAAGAGTGGGTATCACAGTGATTTACACCATGACAAAAACCTCCTCACAAGAACTTCTGCTTTTTCAGTCTCTGACACATCTGATAACAGAGCGATCAAACAACTCAGTGTCTTTCACCATGTGCAATAACCTATTTAAAAACATTCAACAGATTTTATTGGATTCATTTACACAATAATTTATAAATATATCCATACCTTTAATAAATGCTATAATAATCAAAATATGAATACATAAATATGCCATCCAGCATCATCCATAATACCTGAAAATAATTCAGGCTTTTAAAGCCACTTTATCTTGCCAAATAATATCTTATAATTATAGAAAATGTACATAATCTCGGTTTAATACACAAGATACAGTTAAGTCGTTAACTTTAATGAGTCCTGTTTCCTGAGGCCCTGAAGAAACCTGACATACAATATTGAAAACATAAAAACATCACATTCACATCAGGAAATCTAGATGCAGACAATCAATAAACTAAATACATTTTAAATCAGTTTGTAAAATTAGGGAAGATGTTTGTTTGTAGGGATTAACATTGAAACATTTGAAGATACAATATTTTTCCATTCTGTTACGTTCACAAATAAACATGGAAGTCATGATACATTTAAACTGATACATTGATAAGATTATTTGACGATGAATTAAAATGGAGATTAAATCCCAAACTCCATGGAAGTTAATAATACTCATGCAGAGGACATCAAAAGAGGTCCTAACCCCATCTGCTTGAAAACATACAAAATAAATGAGAAAATTGCTCCTGTAATTATAAAAAAGTTTCACATCAAAAACTTAATGTAGTTTGTCTGTGAA